TCTGGGGGTGCCTGATAGGTGGGGAGGGGGCACAGACAAAACAGCATCTCAACAATTGTAAGAAAGCTCTAAATACCCTAAGTAGACGGCCTTAAAATTACTTTTTGGAGTGGAATACAAGTCTAAGCTCAAGCAAAGCCTACAGGAAAACTAGTAATGATTTTATCTTCTAGAAGCAATTCAAATGTTTTGTTTTCATTTACCTTTTTATGATCATCATACATAATTTCCCTTAAGATACTACATTATATTACTAAGTACTGTCTGTGTTACTTATGCTTTCATGCTGCAAATATCCACCCTGGTTCCAGACCTCTGAATCACTGCTGGATTACATAAATAAATATCTGGTGTTGTGTTCAATAGCTGCACTGCACTTGGCAGGGACGACATGCAACTTGTTGCAGGTACAGCATTGAACCTATATTAGTACATAGTCTAGATGTTGTGGCAAGTTTTAATTTTACATTTTCACAGCTTTTAAGTGTTGGCAAAAAGACTGCCTGACCAGCAGAACCTTTCCTTTTGGATTCAGCCACTGCAGCCAAGTGAAAAATGGGTCTGTCTCGACTGTTTACTGCTGGTAAATGCAGTGTAACGCTTGCAGTACTGAGCTATTGATTCGAATGGCATTGGTGGCATGGTTTTTGCTGTTCTGTGTGACACAGAAATGAAGTGGAAATCCTCAGCTCAAACTCTGGGTGTTGAAGTATTGACAACCATTTCTCCTGGCTGGAAAACAACCAATCCAATCAGAGCTGTAGAGGTGGGAGTAAGAGTTGCAAATTCATCTTTTTTGTGCCCAAATCAGAAAAAAATGCAATAGATGTAGCTAAAGTACTTGCTCTAAGTCAGTTTATAGAAATAACCACTCTGGGATATTTCCTGTAATGTAATGACATGACAAACCAACCTGCTAAACTTGCCTACAGATACACCTGTCACTGCTGACTGGTTAGACCAGTATATCTGCCCCACCCTTAAAGAAATCCATTAATATGGAATAAAAACTAAATGGTGATTCACCCTCATTCAAAACATGCACAGAATGTCAAGCTCCTGGACAAGCAGGAAATAAACAAAAACGTATAGACGACATCTGAACAGGAGATATTGGCTCAACATCTCTTTTCCATTTTAAAGACATTAGGTCTGTTTTGCAGCCTGTTACACACTAAAACAACACATTCTGCAGCTGCATCTCACATTGTGCAGGTCTGCATGGTATCCCTTCAGAATCTACTCTATGTACCTCTGAGCAAGCCCTTTCACCATCACTGCTAATCACTGCTCTGCACACCAGTAAAGAGGATCATGGTTGTGAATGTGTGAGCAGGATGTGACGTGCCTGCAAAGACAATCTTTTCTGAACAAGCAAGAATCACTACTCAACCAAAATAAACCAGTACATATGGATGTTATGGCTTCATCCAGTCTGTCACTTCAGCCACAAGGTCTTTGACAGGTGGAAGGTCTCAATTTACTGAAGGCTGTGTTTTCTGGCACAGCAGCAGTGAGCTGCCTCTTTGAAGTCTGGGTCATTCTGGGGCAAATCCTTCCAGCAGTCCCACATTCCACTGCTGCTGAACACATCAGCTCGGGATAATACACACACACACACATGAAGAAATAAGCTTTACTCCTAACTACATTAAAGCCTTTTGCACATTAAATGCTTGATACTCAGTGAACCTCACATCTCTCTTGCACACACATAAAACCAGTTACATTGGTCTTTGTTTGCTTTATTTCTCGTGTCATTGGTACACACACCTGACAGCAATGCGCTCAGTAATAAGTGACAGTTTGACCAGATGTGCGCTGCATTTGGGTGCATCTCCTGAGAAAAACAGTCAACCTTCAATACAATGAGCTCCTCCTCCTGCTGCTGCAACTAGCCTGATGAATACAAACCATACAGTCTGGAAAACAGAGAGTAATGGCTGTCGCACATCCAGACAGAATGACAGGGGCTGAGGAGGAGAGATGGTAACGAGGGACGGAGAGAAGTGACACACTGTGGCAGAGAGAAGGAAGAGAAAGGAGGCAGAAAGACAGACTGATGGAGGAAGAGGAGGTGGCAACAAAGTGAAGGATAGAGAGATGATAAAAGAGAGAAAGAGAGTGACAGAGAAAGCGAAAGGAAGGAGATGTTTTTGGTCTGTGAAAGACTCCGATTTTTACTCCCACTCTGCCCGTCTGTCTGTAGCCAAGGGGAGTTACTCTGTCGGGTCTGCTATCAGTAGCCTCAAATCTCACACCGCTCCAGCCGGGTTACATCACAGTGTGACGCCTCTGCTGCATCGAGTGCCAATGCAAGCATCTGCACTGTACACACAAACCTGGTATGGTTCTCTAACAAGCTGAAGTACTGTGATGTGCAGTCGTGGGTCAGTCTCGGTGCCTGGCTGCTGCTGTGGGATCTAGAGAGTTTCAGTACATAAATGAACAAATGTTTAACGCTGAATCCTCAAGCTGAACTGGGTGAACTGCCTCATCATCACTTTGGTTTAACCAAATTTTGGGATATGTTCTTTACAAGGAACAAAGAGAAACACAGCCATTCATCTCCCCAAATATATGATCATAAGTCTAATTTCAGCCACTCAGTGCTGTACTGAGTTACCTCAACAGTTGAGGGTAAACACAGCTGCATATTAAATATTTCAGCGTGTTCCTCATCATCATTATTTGTTTTACTGACAATCACCTACAAGTTGGCAACACATGCACACAACGAAGTTTATATGCTTCAGTATCCCGTTTTCTAATTCACTGCTCCAGCTAGAACATCCCAGTTGCTCAGGTTTCTAAAACCAGGATATCAAATCAAATCTAATTTTATTTGTATGGCACCAAATCACAACAAAAGTCATCTCAGGACACTTTACAAAGTAAGGTCTTGTATTAACGAGGGAAAACCCAACAAATCCCCCTTGAGCAATGTGGGATATGATGGTTAAAATGGTTAAAAGCTTTTAAAAAGAACACAGAAGCAATCATGATGTGATGCCTCTGTGACAGGCGGGTGGTTGCAGTGTTATGGAGCTTATAAGCACCTTGTGCAGACCTGACTGAAACAGTTTGAAACAGCCAAAGACTGAACTTGTGTGCGGTCCAGAAATAATGAAGGACATCCCAAAGCTCTTATTCCTGTTCTGATGAGTGAGGAGCAAAGAGGAGGTTGCTGAAGCAACCATGAGTGAGGTTACATGAGAGCATCCTGCATGGGAGTCTTTTTTGGCCTGACGCACCTCTTTATCAGAAATCAGTCAGTGATTGGATGTTTCAGATGAAGGAAGGAAGGGATGTTTCATGCCCTTTCAAATTTCCTCAGTTCCTATATCCTCACATTTTCTCTCAGCATCTTTTTCTTGCATCCTACATGGGCGGGACTAATATGCAAGAAAAAGAAGCAAGTGAAGGAAACGTGGACAGTTTGCGAGAGAGAAGTTCAGCATTGTCTCACTTCCTACAATACAAGCTAAGAATGTTTTCATTCTGTCTGTGATGAGTCCACACAGTCTTCAGCACTAAACTATAGTTCAGTTCACAACAAGCAGCGACAAATCACAACAAAAATCATCTTACATACATAGTAAGGTCTAGACCTTATTATTGTTATCATTATTGTCATTATTATTGTTGAAAAAAACCCAACCAATCCCCCTTGAGCAGCACTTGGTGACAGTGGAGAGAAGAAATTGATGGGCAGCCTCCTGCCTCGACCGGTTTGGGTGAGTGGAGAGAGGAGAAAGAAAAGAAAACAGAAGTTGCCAATGGCTTGTTTAAAGTGTTTAAAAGACATTTTTAAAATACATATTGTCACACTGTCTAACATGGGTTGGACACCGAAGCTGCTTTTGTGTCTTAACACTCTAAGCTGATCTTCATCTAAGTCACGTTTAGTCCTGCCAGCAGCTTGGCTCTCGGTCAGCTGGTCGTTCCACCGCTTTGGTTCAGACTGAAATATATGACCAGATGGATTGCTGTGAAATTTTGTACAGATGGGTAACCCAACCAGACAGATTAATCTATATGACTTTTGTGATCCCCTGACCTTACTTTATGACCAAGTATTTGCCCAGCTAATGCCACCAACAGCCAAAGTCCCCAACCAGGAGAAAATGTTACATCTATTCATTGCATAGTAAAAGCTACAGAGGTCATCGGTCTTTTGAAACAGTAATAAAACAGATACAGGTATGCACAGTTTGCTGTGGGAAACCACAGCTGTGTCAGCCTACCAGAGTCCTCCCTGTGTATCTCTGGACTGAGCTCTAATTCACTGGAGTTGTCTCCCTTTCACCACCTCCTTAGACCTTTTGACAGACAGCTGGTACACAAAACCTTTCTAGTAGCTCTGATACACAACAGTTAATATAAGGAAAAATATGCAGCCCACACAGAATGACGTAATGTGTGTCTGATTGACTTTCATTACAGGCTCCACAAGTTAAACTTCATATAAGTAAAAATGCACATAAACATTATTTATGTGATCTGCATTCCTGTGACTTCTAAAATTAAAGAGAACCAGGAATTAATTACCAGTATAACGAGGCCATAATTAGCAAACAGTCAATAATATACTATTAGTAAACATGACAAAAATTAATGACACCCTGAGTCATTCTTTGTCACATTGTGCAACTGCAGCAAATATGGATAAAAACGGAGCATTTTATTGGAAAAGTAAAGAACATAAAAAACATTTTTTCTATCTTCTGTTTTTGAAATGATACTGTACTATGAAGTTTTAATATAAATTCACAGCCCTGTGTGTTGGGAAATGTAGCCATCACATAAATCATAAAAGGCTTGTTTTACAGAGAGATGAAGGCTGGTCATGACCAACAGCACAACGCTAGAGAAGAGTTAAAAGTATCAGGGAAAACACAAAAAGGATGCAACTTCAACACTGCTGCCTCCTTTACATGCAATCTACTCATTCATCTGTGGGTTTTGGGAGTATTGTGTAGTATGTCGTTCACCTGTGGGCTGTGAAAAATCAGATGCGTCTCTGTGTCAGTACATTCTGTAAACAATGAATTAATTGGTTTATAAATCTTTGACTTTTCAATCTACACTATCACAGCAAAGTGGTTCATTTTATAGGAATCACGTGACAACAATGAACAATGTTTAAACTTGTAGATTCTTTTTGGGGTTGTTTGTACTATTTTGCTGCATTGTCAGAGCTGTGAGTTTTGTGCTTTGAAAAACGTGGACTCTCTTAGAACAGGTGAGACGTGAGGGACTGGTCCACACAATGATCATATAAAGATGAACCTACAGTATTTCTGATTTACTATTATATATTTGATACAGTTTCCGGTGGTTCATTTTATAGGAATCACATGACAACAATGAACAATGTTTAAACTTGTGGATTCTTTTGGGGTTGTTTGTACTATTTTGCTGCATTGTCAGAGCTGTGAGTTTTGTGCTTTGAAAAACGTGGACTCTCTTAGAACAGGTGAGACGTGAGGGACCGGTCCACACAGTGATCATATAAAGCTGAACCTACAGTATTTCTGATTTATTATTATATATTTGATAGTTTCCATTTGTGCAGCAGCAAGTAATATAATAACAGCTGGTTTGGTTTAAAAAAATATCACATGGTCCATTTAGTGTCTGTGCTGGGCTTCTGACCATGTCGCCTGACCTCCTAAGTGGAGTTTGCTCAGTTGAGCTGAAGATGTTCTGTAGATGGACTTTAAGCACTTCTTATATTTTTGGTTTAAACATGAAGCTTCGTTCTTCATCTTGAAAGCAGCAGCTGAGAAAACAATGCCATCAAAAGGGCCAATCGTATGACAACACAGGACACAAGAGACTTTTTTTAAGCCAAGAAGTCCTCAAAGTGCAAACAAATTGAAATTTGAACATGATCACTTGACGAACATCTGTATCTGCTGATGAAGATATGAGGATGTGATCGAAAGCTCCAGAGTACCTGCTAATGTTTCCTCAATCTCTGTTTCAAAGACCAAGTATGGACTTCAAGCCCCAAGGTTTAAAATGTCATTTTCCTCTCTTACAGCAATGTTTTATTGGTAACTAACACCTCTACACTGATTGTTAACAACTGCAGTATTTAATCTCAGCGGCAGCTTCTTTGACTCTCTTAAAGATGACACCACTCTGGGACTCAAACGTGCACCCCTGCAGCTAAACCAACAGCGACCAGCATTTTTTTTTCCCTCAGAGCCACAGACCTGAACTAGATATCAGCTGGCAGGGTTGTTGTCGGGTCGAGTCAGGACAAGCTGGGTCAGGGTTTCAGACTCAGGCTGGGTCCAGGACATGTCAGAAACGGCGCGCGATGCGGCCTAAAAGTGTTAGGTGAACTCATTAAATGGCCAGACGAGGAAGTAATGAACAAAACCCGTCTTTTTAATAAGAGAACTAACGTGCTGGGGTCTAGAACAATCTGGCAGCGTCCTGGTGGGAGGACGCTGCCTAAATAGAGGTGTAAACAATAACGAAACAGGTGAAACCAATGTGAGTGATGAAGAACGTAAAAAGACCAAAACTAAGGTGAAACAAAAACAGGAAGTAACGTCAAAATAAAAGCCGGACGGGAAGCAGCGGAACCGAATCATGACAGGACAGAGCAGCTGAGGTCCAAAGGAGACAAAACCTCAAGAATAAAGGAGTCTTTATTCATTTGCCTACTACGCTAAATGAGTCAATCAAACAGTATTACATGAGGAGACATCTCACTCTGCATGTCTGAATTTGTTTATGTTTGTGAGTTTGTGTGTGTGTTGTCGTTCTGCCAGTATAACCCACTGGTAATTAGGGTGCCTTCCAGTTTCTCTGGTGAAGGGTGTGGATGGCCATAATGAGTCTGCATGTGTGTCAGACTGATTGTTTAGGGGTGATGGCGCCTCAAGACCAAGAACTGCTCGACTGTGCAGGCAAGTTGCCGACCATCAGGCATCGCCAGTTGTTTAACCCAGATCAGTTAAACCACTCACAGACCTGGGGGACTGAGTGGTTGAGACAGACTGTAAAGAGGAGCCCAACTGGTGTGGGCAGTGAGGGCCCACCAGTCTGTTTGGGTCACAGAGAAGGAGAAACATTGGACAGTGGATGGCAAAGAAAATTTACAGATTACTAATAATATGGAGGTTCAAACTTAAAGAGATAATGAAAGCTCCATATATACAGTGTGTCATTATCTGTATAACGTAATATGTCATTACAATATGGCATATGATTTGTAGTTGAAAGGTCAGTATCAATAAGTCACATCTTCATTTCTAACAGAAAGGTTTGGATACAGTTTTCAAGGAGCACAACACCTGTTTATTGACTAGATTTCATTGCTGATCCATATCATAATTTGGATACAGGAATACAAGATTGTTCACCATTGGAGTGCTGCAGTGGCTGCTGACTGTATTTGAGCCCCCTCTAGCATTCCAAGCACGTACTGAGACAAACCCCAGGGTCAGTGGCAGCTACCTAATCATTGTCGACGGAAACCAAGTGCTGCCACTCAGTACACCCTGCTGTGTGAAACAGGGACTGAAGGAGCCCAGTGAGGCGACAGCCCAGAGCTGGGGAAAGATCTACTCTATGCAGTGACAGTCGGGCCAGAGCCTGATGGCAGAGACTTGGACCCAGGTTCAAAGCTGTTAGTATTTTCATCTGACTGGTATTATGCCATTTTATTATGTTTTCACACATTTCCAGTGACAAAGTAACCACTTAGATTGAGGATATGTGGTCAGTCTATCCAAGTAATGCCAATTTGTAAATTTGTTCCAACATTTTCGGAGATGTCAGTGCTCGTTGTCTGACCAAGCTAAGCCAGGCAGCTACATCTCATTCAGAACACAGCAGTGTGTCAGCGAGGACGCGCCCGGTGTTCCAGCTGCACATTATAACAGCGTTTCCACTGTTGGAACCCAACAAGTGGTACACCCCGTGCTTCCCTTAACCATCACCTGGCACAACCTCATGGGTTGACGCTGACCATCCTACTTTGCTTTTTTCACTGTAATTTACTGTGTCGGCCTCTGTTTAGAGGAGGGAGGGGGTGCGCTCCACTCACACACACTCACAGCTGAGCAGAGGACATGAAGTGTCAGTCCACAATGCAACAATCAACCAGTAACAGAGACTGTTAGACTGTTAGAGCTCTAGACAGTGTTGGTTCAAGTTCCTCTGGTTATTAAAACAAAGACCTTCAGTGTGACAGGTTTCTGTATTTTCTGGTAGTGTGTGAACGTTAAACACACAGGAGAGAAAATGTTTTTACTATTGATAATAAATGGCTGTACTGTGCACACTGCAGATTAAGCAGAGTGAGCGAATCTCTCTGACTCATTCTCATTGATTTCAGCTTCAAATACCTGAACCTCAAGAAGATCACACAGACACACCCACACACTAATTCCCACACTCACTCACTAATTAATAAGACATGAACTGGGACTTCTTTATTCAACAGTGCTCATTAATACTGATATAAAGGAGAAATGCACCGGTCCACATTCGGCTCTAAATAAAAACATCTGCATCGATTTTCCACCAGCTACTCTCATTCTCTTCTTCTTCTACTCATCTATTTTCCTTTCACTCTGTCTTTGCCATCACCTCCTCTTCATCTGCCACATATTTCATCTTATTTTTTTTTAAAGAAACCCTTTTGTTTCTACAATCTCTTTTTTCTCTCTTTCTACAAGAACTTTTTTTCTCCTTCCATCACATAAATCCTTTCACTTATGACTCCACAGGTGGTGGGATGGAGGAAGGATGTGTTGCCATGGAAACGGTCTCGGCCTCGCTAGGGTTGATGCGGCGCTGCAAACCCGACAAGATCTGCATCCGCGCACACTAAACACACTGTGAAGCGCCCAGGGACACACAACTAATAACAATGTGTTTATCTTTGTAGAACTGTGGGTTTCTGAGATTATGGGAATATGCAGCATGTGTGTCTCTCTGCGTTTTCCATTCAGACTCGTGCTCATCTCTCTTCAGCCTGATTTTTAAATCATTAGTCTGACGAGTGTTCATGAAATTACATTTAGTATGTCATGTAATATAGACTGTGTGGTATTTGCCTTAACCAACAGGTGACAAGTGGAGATCTGTAAAAATTTAAATCTGTAAAACAATACTTACTGTATCTAACTATACGTCTGTAGGGATTGTTTTGTTTTATTGACCTTCTAGTTACATCCTTAATCATTTCGCTGTCATTTCTGACTAAACTATAACCTCTGTGAAAATACCACTACACTGCTGCTGTTTTGTCACGTTGTGTCTTATGGTTTGTCTGTCTTTATTGTCTTTAGGGCTGCAGCTGGTGATTCATTTACTCATCAATTATTTGTTTAGTTTATAAAATATCTGAGAACCAGCACAATTTCTCAAAGCCCAATAGGAACAGTCAAAACCCAGGGACATAGAGCTTGCTATCACAGAAGATTTAGAAGCTGGAAAAGTCTTTCTTTTACATTTTCCCAAGGGTAAAAAAAAAGGTTGAAATTCTCTTTTGACTGAATATTCCAGTAACTGACAAATAATTTCGGCTCTAATTGTATCCTGCTCCAGTGGGACGATAACATTAATTCTACTCTACTCATCACACAAACCAACTAAATCTAATTGTCTGATAAAATGTCTTTCTGGTGAACCTGGTTTGTCGTCATGACATCTGTGCATGTGTGTTCACAGATGGGTGTGATGGTGGACTGAATTCTAATGTGACAGTCTGCAGCAGAACAGTCCGGGGGAGGAGGGAGGGAGGAGCGTGCACAAGAGGAGAGCTCTTGCACAAGCATGAACTCAATGACTCACTTCAGAAAGGACACAGTGACACAGAAAGACCAGCACCTACATGATACACTAACACACATGTTTGCGAGATATAGAGAGTAGAAAGCATAGACACTGCAGCACACGTTAACACAAAGACAGGTGCAAGCCTACGCACAAACAAAGAGGTGCTCTGGTTCCATCTTCTATTTTCACCCTTTGTCTCACACACACACAACATGTAAATTACTGTTCAAGGGCACCCAGAGTTGGAGAACAATGCCAAGTCAGCACTGCTAAAAACAAAAAGCACATATCCTAATTGTTTCATCTCTGAGTGGGAAGAACAGGAGCAACCCTTCACTGTCAGACTGCTCATGAAACTCTGTCGAGTTGTTTGGTGACCACCTGCAATAAAAACTTATGGACGAGCATCACCAAGGACAATGAGAACACCACCCCGAATACCTGAGCTACCAGTGAGACAGAGCTGCAGCAAAAAACACCTGGACAACAGCAAGGGTGGCGAGAAACACTGGCACTAAAGGATGTTGCAGTATTTCTTAGCTTTTAGGTGGCTGGTAGGGTAGTGAATGACATTTGGCATTTCAAAAGTGCCACTGTCAAAATGTACGTTGGAGTACGGGGAGCTGTGACCATTAGTCTGCTGTTCATTCTACAGTTTTTGTTCATAGATTAAGTATTTGAATATTAACAGTCAGATAAATGCACATCTTGATGATGTATTTCCACATCAGAAATGCCCATTACACACATAATCCTGCTTTGAAGACACCTTGCTATGCCAGCTAGCAATCCTGTCTGCTAAAAGATGTTTATGTTCTCTAATGTTCTGCTATGTATGTTTCCACTGTATAAACCACAGGATTTTGACAGGGTTCACCACGGTTCACCTGTGTGTGATCAGATTAACATGCTTCACATCACTTTTGACTTAAGCTTTTTTGCTACAAGTCTTTACTCCAATCCAAAGGCCTACAGGAAAATAAATTAAGTACTTTGTTATACTTTTAGTATCAACATTTTGTTATTTGGCAGATATCACCATTAAAAACTTAGTTCAGGTGGAATTACATTGTACATAAACAAACGTTTGTGGCTGGAATACACAGAAAAATAAAATAAAAACAAATACTATGCAATGTTAAAGTTTATTTATTTATATAGTCTGGCTGGTATCTGATATTAAGGATAATACTTGTAACAGTGTAATAAAGATTCAACTACACTACTGTGAGTGAAGCTTTCATAACTAGGTTTAGTTATCTGCACTTTAATCCAAACTGTTTGTTGCTTCTTGCTGAATTTTCACCTGAAACACAACTTTTGCTTCCGATTTTAGGTTTATTTCACTAAATGTTGTTACTTTTCTGTATGAGGAAATTTGCACCTCAGAGGAGGCTACAAAGCAAACACACATGCATGCACAGCGCAGAGTCTGCTCAGCTGGCAGCTGGTCGGGTCGAGCCTGTGCCCGTCTACGTGCTAGCCATTGGACTGCAGGCAGGCCCAGGTGGGAGGCTCACAAACAAGATTAGGATCACTTAGTTTCCCAATAGACAGATTTGTCTGGGATGAGGCACGCTTGCCTCCACTGATCCCATCTTAGTGCTGTGAGAAAACTACACCAGGGCCCTACTGAGGACACAAGATTGTGCATTCGCCACACACACCCACAGTTATGAACCTTTTTGCAGATGACCTGAGGTCAGCTCACAGTGCCCTCTTTTAAATCACCTCTTAAAACATACTTTTGGGGCAGAGCCCATCTGGAACTCTCTTTAAGGACAATGTCTTTAATGAAACTTGTCTGATGTGTATGTGTAGGTTGACATTTGATTGTGTTTTGTACAACTTGTTGTGTTTTATCTTTTGGTAAAACACTGTAACCATGCTTGGTAACCATGCATCTTCTAATACCTTGGTGCACTCCTGCGGAGCGTAGGGACAAAGGATGGCCATTTAGGTTAGGTGGGCTTGATAAACTGCAAATGCTGAAAATTTCCAGCTGCACTGGTCACTGGTTAGCACTGGTCAGCACTGGTTTGCTTAGACGGTAGGAGACATTTTGGACTGCCACAGTAGGAGAAGCCCAGGTGTAAATAATAAAACCAATGATGGCTGAATTCCAGGCAGCTGCTTCAGTTTCAGCATCCTGGCTCATTGTGTTTACTGGGACACTTACTAGGACAGTGGAGCCAGTGTTAGTACCACCTGTGCTGAGAAGTGACACGTGCTTCACACCGTGATGCATCGAGTGAAACGAGACAAAATGGACTGTGGGTCAGTGAGTGAAACTACTGATTCAAGAATGATGTAATGGACATCAATGCAGTCTATCTGCTGCTAATATGACGGCACGTTACTGCTAATTACTCTGCTCCTGTGATGTCGCTGATGTGCAGTTGTAATTACATCAGTCAGTTGTTCCTGGTTGTGCTACATGTCGATCACTCACACCTAATGCATACACCAAAAATATTATGCTATGTCTAAAATAACCTCCTCTGCTTTCTGTTGGAACATTGCACAAGACAGCAAAAGGTTTTTCTCTAAGTGTAACTGGAGTTTTGACCTTTTGCTTTCTCCAAACACTTTGGAAGTAGGTAAAGCTGTACTAGAAATCCCTGCTCTGCTTCTGTTGAACGGTACACACAAGATTAAAACAAATAAGGCATAGCAGCACTTGGTCTGAACACGACTCCCAAATAATTATGATGGACTAATGATCAAGGTGCAACTCTGAAAACCGACTTCCTGAGACAAAACACTGCTGTGTGCTCAGTCAACTGTGAAGTACAGCTGCTGGAAATCCAACACACCATGTTGTGCATGAAATCATTATGCAGAAGTAATGAACACACCAGCACAAATAGTGATATCATCTCTGAATTAAAGCTGGTAATGACGGGCTACACCCATTGCCAGTGGCTTTGCGCAGACACACACACGGTCAGCTGAGCCACCAGACTCGCAGCGTGTGCGAAAATCCAGCCAACATTTTGATGAAATTCAAAGGTTGAACACATTATGGCGGTGATATGAACACACTGTTCTGCTGGGCAGTGTCAACCGATGTGTGTGGTTTCCATGGTGACAGAGAGGATGCAGAGGAGCGAGTGCAAACCAGCAACAAGCAGGGATACAAGCAACACAAATATCACAGGTTTTAGCCGTTTTTATCGCCGGTATGCTGCGATAGAAATGCTAGACTGGGTTAGTGGTGTCATGATGGGAGGATCTGATTAACCCACACCACAGATAATCTGTCAGCTAGCAGACATGTGTCAGCAGGCCAGAGAAGAACAGACAGTGAGGAGGAGGAAGATGCAAGGAGAGGAGTGGAGCATGGAAGAGTCTGTACATCCACGGGTTTCAGGGCAGAAACAGGGAATCATTACTCTGTCAATCGACCACCTCTACTGTGCATGGGGGAGGGGAGGAGAGAAGTATGTCAGCATATCACCGAAAGCAGGAGGACTGCAAATGGGTGCCAGAAAACAGCCAACAGTATTCTGGTCAGCTGTTGTGACCTTGGTTGTCAGAGATGTGGGGCAAGCTGCCGCCTCCACACTTCACTAGTGAACCAAAAAGGGTGTGTGTGTGTGTGTGTGTGTGTGTGTGTGTGTGATGTGTATATAGGTGGCAGGAGAAGGGTTCTGCCGCGTCCACACTTCACTAGTGTGCCAAAAAGAGTGTGTGTGTGTGTGTGTGTGTGTGTGTGTGTGTGATGTGTATATAGGTGGCAGGAGAAGGGTTCAGTCAAGGTTGTATTAAGGCGTCTGCACTAGATCTGCCCGTCTCTTTCTGTTAAATATCTACTTGAGTTTGAGCGGACACAAACTCCCTGCTGGTGATTTACACGACTCTTAATGGGGCTCAGTTTTGAGTTAAGATAAGCTATCATGCTAAACTAAGACCGTGAGCATGGTAAATTAGGACATACCTGTTAATCGTCATTTAGCTCAAAAGCTGGGCTTCAATTGGTACAGCCTCACAAAGGACCTAGCATGTCAAATATAGAGGCCTAAGTCATCTATTTTGTAAACAAGTAAAGGATTCTGCCTGTGTGGTGAATTATTTGAAACAATTTTACTGCAGTGGAAGATGTTTCAGGTGAAAAAGCACTGGGGGAGATGAAGATTTCTCTCGTCACTGCCTCCCGTCCAGCTGCTGTGCTGCTACGGAGCAGAGAGCAGGGATGTGCTTTGCTGAAGGGCAAATCATTAGATAAGACAGGGCGTGAACCCTGAACTCTCTAGCAAAGGTCAAACGCAAGGCCAACATTTCAAAATGCTCATCTTTAAACCTTTAACAGTTTTGTTCCAATGTCATCTGACATTCCTGCACAGGTCTAAAGCTCTGATGTAATGTTGATTTTAAAGGAACAGTCGTCGCTGTGAGGCAGCAGAAACTCCACGAAGCCACCAAAGCTGTTGTTTTTACATTTTGGTTTGTACATCTTAAACAAATTAGATAATGTGGTAGGATGTTTTCCTCCTGCCTGCTGCAGCTTCATATTTAGCCCATCTAACTCCCAAAAAGCAAACAGGAGCACTTCCCAAAATGTGCAACTATTCCTTTAAAGGCAAATATTGCATCTCATATTCATATACATCACACTGCCTGCACAGGTCTTTACAAACCGTTTAAACATCCTCTTAAAGCATTAGAAGCAGTGGGGACACAAATACACCTAAAAATAAAACTAAAATTTCAAATTCAAGAGGAAAACACGAGCAAAAGCTGAGGACATGAAAATACACAATCTGGTCAGATGTGCATCTCACAGGGAACACAGGTCTTTTGTTCCTTTAATAAACTTCCAGGTGGATGTTTCCAAGTAAACACAGTAAAAACTAGTTTTCCCCACACAGCCTGTATGAATCCCAGCCAGTGTGATGAAATGAATCGGACAGATTATACCGGATTATAACGCCAGACTGATCTCATCCCGCGCATGCTCCTGCATTAGCCTGACAGTAATGGAACCAGCCGTGTGCGATCAATCTCAGACAAAGACAAAGAGAGAACGCCTTCTCGTCTTTTATTAATGTTTACTAAAGTGTTGTTTCCCTCCCCCTGTGTATCAGAATGTCCGTGAGGATCTCTTCATGAATTATTCATGCGGTCCTCTGTCCCTAATCCTCGCCTTTGTGTGGCTGTAGTGCCAGAGCGCCTCCAGGGACCCGGTTTACTGCATCGGCTGGACGCCGTCACACATCTCTAAGATTTCTCCTATAATATTCCAATATTGGATTATGGTACATGTGCAAGACTCCAGATGTTGATTTTGTGCTGCTTTTACAACAACAGACATGCATTATCTGTATTCTTTTAATGTCTTGATTTTAAATGACTTACAGCGTTTTGTCAGCTTTCGGATGATGGAGACCTATTTTAGATATCTCTGTGATAGTCCTATAACATTGGTGCATATATAGACTTACAATAGTATAATTCAGTCTTCCAGCGTCTCTTGTGTCATTGGGTTTACACTGACCCCGTTGTTACCTCCTTTGGTCTCTGTAATATCCTATCTCATCTCTAATATTCCTGCAGCAATGTAGTGGTCACAAGTGACTTAATCATGACATTTGTGTCTTCTAGGCAAGGATATAAAAATCCCATGAAATGTGTACATTCCTATGATACTCCTACAGTGTGTTATTAAGACGATATTTGATCTAGAATAAATTACACATGTGTAATAATTGCATTTTTGGAAACGAGTTTCCACAAATTCTATTTATTTTCACTTTGCAGTGAACAAAAAAAGCAAGAACAGGGAGGTGTTCTGAATATTGACACCTATTTTTATTAAGCAATAACTTAGAAATGCCATTTCAGTGTGAAGTGCTTCCTAACCTACAATCCCAGCCTCACTGACCTCCTTTCTGGCTGCCCTGTGGGAGTGTGTTTAGGTGTCCTGGAGAGAGGACGTGCTGCCGCCGCTGCTGCAGAGAGCCAAGCAGCACATGTGGACGTTAATGCACAATGAAGGGCAGTTTCTTACCGTGGACAGGTAGTGGGATCAAGTGCAGAGCCAGGACGCACGACAGCAGCGTTAGTCTCCAGCATCCCGGGCAAAAGCTCGCCTCCTTCCCCTGCATCCTCGCCGCGCAGTGATAGCCTAAGGTGATCAGACAAAAACAAAGAAAACCCCTGTTCTAACAACGGCAACAGAGTTCAAAAATACTGCAAAGAGTAATCCGGACAAGTGGGTCTGTTGATTTGCGTGCAGTCTAAACTCCAGCCTCCCTGCGCTTCTCCATAGCTGCTTGCTGTTACGCTGGCTCCACGTATCCGTTACTATTTCACACGCTTGGTTCAGTTAAAGCGCACTGAGGCTGGTTACGGCTCCATCGCCACAGAACAGCGGTCGGAGATGGCGAAGCGAGGGCGAGGTGGTGTGGTGGAAGAGGCGGGGATGTGCGTCTGGGGGCGCAGACAAACGCTGTGGGCCGGATTGGCTTGGTTTGGCTCGGAAAAGGGTCGGTGCTTTGGGCACTTTGTGGCTAACAAACGCACGGCAGCGTGCACGGCAGCCTTGTCATCATCTGGGGAGGGGAAAAACGATCGTTGATCCCCCCTCCCTCCTCCCTCTCTCATTTTTCCCAAGATGCTTCCTTCCCTTTCCCAAAACTTTTCCGTCCCTCTGTCCACCTCGTTCTCTTCTTCTGTTATCCCCCCTCCTTTCTCCTCATTTTTCCTCACTTTTCTTCATCTTTCATCCTTCAAACTAAACATTTCTCATCCCTTTCCTCTTCCATTTTTCTTACCTTTTAAAACTATTCTCCTCGCCTCCTCCTTTCTCATCCTCACACTTTTTGTCCTTAATTTTTCTCGTCTTCCTCCTAACATATTTCCCTCTTATTACAAAACATTTTAAAACTTCATTTTCCTTTTGTCCTTCCAGAAAACATTTTGTCCTCCCCTCTGCACATTTCTCAAGACATTTTCCTTCCCTTCTCTCTCTCCCTCCAGTCTTCCCTTTCCAAAAGATTCTGCTTCATGTCCTTCCACCTCTATCTCATCCTCAAATGTGTTCTCCTCCCACTTTTCCAGAGCATCTCTTCTTCCTCCCTACTTTCTTCCTGGCTCTTTTGATCATATCCTCTGCAAGATTCCCAAAGTTTTTTCTTTTCTTCTCCTACATC